GCAGTCTCGACTCCTGCTTCTGCCGCATTCTGCTATTCTGGCTGCTGCTTGTGCGACTAGTACTACGAGGACCCGGACCTGCACTTGCATCTGGCCACCACCACCACCTCGACGACGACAACTCCAGAAACTACGATGACGACGGCGACGACGACTAGTGCGCCTTCTCCTATTGCGGATCCCACTCCGACACCTACTTCTACTCGTCCTCCGCGTCCCCCATGCCTGCTAGACCTACTGCGGCGGCTCGTGTTGCTCCTGCTATCCCTGCTGCTGCAGCTACTGCTACTGTCGTGGTGCAGCACTGCCAGATTTCTGCCACTACTGAGTCCCGCCGGTACCGACAGAGCAGCGTTCTTGCGATTATTTCATGATCTCCGCAACGCTGATCATTTGCTTGGACACATGCAGGAGGTGGGCAGGAACTTGTTTTAAGTTGCTACCTGCAGTCCTGTGCCTTCTTTGCTTTTCCGAGTGCGACAGCGAAGGCGTGGAGTGCAGGCCTTGACTGTGGTGGTTTTGCATGTTGACCTGCCTTTGCGTCGTGCGCTTTTCTGAATGCCTCGCCTAAACATCTCAGGTACTCCGGCACTCTGGAGTGCCCCGCAGAGCTGACCCCCGAAGGCCGGCCCTGGAATCGGTTTTCCTGATGCTCTCGTCCCGAGTCCCGAGCATGAAGGAATGATGTCATTCTTGTCATGTACAGTCAGAACGGAAATTAGCTTCCTGCCAGCAGGTTGGGTGGACTGTTCTGCGAGCTCTTGGCAGGCCACGCTGACCCAGGAGATTTGTTTGGGCGTCGAGTGGAAGAGTGCTGCACTGGTCATAGATCAGCGATCATGCCAGCAAGTCTATCCGGGCGATGCGGGCTGGGAAATCCGCATTTTGGAGTGCTTGGAGTTTCGAGCTGAATTCCGAGCATCCTGACAGGTCATCTGCGCACAAACCAGTATCCCCCCAGCCCTGCAACACCAAGAGAGGATGGCGGCTTCGACTTTCCGGGCTACTTCGAGCCCGATTGGTCCTTGGTGTCGCAGACGTGGCAGTGCCCGGTGCCGGCGGCGGTGCCGGCAGCAGCCGAGTCCTTCGGCGAGTTTCCATCTTGTGCTTGACCTGCTTGGGACGGAGGGGGGGGTCCTTAGGGCAGCTTATGACTCATGCACTGGGTTCGCACATGCCTGCTGGATGACCAGGCCTATGCATCCTGTGTACGCGTCGACACCGAAGACCTCCCTTAGCAGTGGCCTGTTTCTGACATGCTCAGGCCTGCATCTGCCATCCAGCCGACCCCGACCCTTGGCAGACTTAAGCCTGGAAGGGCTTGGGGGTGGCAGCTGCACCGATCGGAGAAGGTTTTGGATTTTGCACTATGTTGAGGACATCGGGCCCCCCCCCCCNNCCCCCCCCCCCCCCCCCCCAAAAATGGAGGCTTACGCCAGGGCTGGGGCTTGCTCAAGGTCTAGACGTTGGGCGCCGAAATTTCCTTATCCCCGTGCGCAGATCAGATTGCGACATGCAGACCTTCGCAAGACTGGATGGCCATAAGCACAGCATATACACGCACTGCTCGGGCTGTGCATGAGCAGGTCCTATTGTGAATCCCGAAAGTGTTGGATAAGATGACCCCAAACTCAGGGGGAACTGCGCGCTCTGCTTCTCTGCTCATTCTCAAGAAAAATGAAGTTGTTGCTAAGCCCCCCAAGCCCAAAGGGTAAGTTCAAAACCACCAAGGCATACAACGAACCAGTTGTCCGGCTGCAGGTTTCAGGTTTGGCAGATGCATTTCGCCGGACAGCTCGCCCAGCTCGGTTTCATGATCAGCCCGAGCCAGGCGGGATCACATCTTTGCCTGCCGACATTTTCGAGCTGCAAACTTTGCCCCAAGTACAAACTTTTTATGAAACCTTTCTTTGGGAACCAAGTACAAACTTCTTATTAAACCTTTCTTTGGGAATTCAGGATCCAAGCAAAAGCCCCGAACCTGTGTCAAGCCCTGGAGCTCTGCAGGTGCCTGGTGGTGACCTGGCTGAACTGCGCTGTCGAGTCCCACCCTGATACGAGACGAACACCCATGATAAGCAAGGTGTGTCAGTGGTAAGACTATGGAAGGGCGGCGGGAAAGAACTCCGTCAGAGGAAACCATCAAGCTGGTGATGTTGGATGGCGGTTGGATGATGATGAGGAGGCGGGTGACAATGGGCACGAGGCCTATGATGATCACGATGTCGGTGGTGACGGGATACCGAATGAGTCATGAGGTTCGACCCTGCTTTATGACTGTTTCACATTTCAACTTCGAACAACATCCCCCTCGTTTGGAAGCCAAAGCGTGCAACCCCCGCAGCCTAGGACAGTGGGAGTTCCCGGCAGAACCCTGATGTGTGAGGCCGTTTCGTCAGGCTTCGAGATAGTTAGAGCTTCACGACGAATCCCAGCACTGCGAATTTTGTACTGACAGGGTTGCGCCTGACAAGCCGACAAGCCTGATTGTTTCGCGAATTGAGCCTGCACATTGCGAATGGCTCCTTTGCAAGCCGCATCTGTCTGTGGCTAATGTGATTTGGTCGGGTCTCTGCAGGACCGCCCGCCCCGGGCTTTCTGCAGAGCCCTTCGAGCTTCGTGTGAGTTTCCTTGTAGGGCTGTGGTGTCAGGGTGCGTCTTCCTGGCTGTGCTACAGCGATGGCACCACGGCATGCGCTTGCCGATCTCTGCGATGCCCTACCCCGAAGCAACCTCAGCTTTTCTGAGTTCCGAGAAAACTTGACATTTGTCTGTTCCAAACTCCTTAAGACCCTCTCGGCAGCATCAGGTGTCGGTGGGACCTCGCAGGGCTTACGGTGCCAATGATCCTGCGTGCTTAGGTGAAGGCCGCTCGTCAAGGGGATGCTGATGTGAGCTTGTCTATGATAATAATAAGTACTCGCATATATTACTACTAGCCGCCCCCCTACCAAACACCTTTCGCCATCTGGGCTGGGCTGTGGCAGCTTCTAGGCTCCCGAACTGCGACAGCTGCAGAAGATGCAGGTGCTCAGGTTCCCTGTCTGTGACTGCAGAAGTTGCAGAGGCTCACTTGCCTTAGCTCTCACAGTCGGTGAAGTTGCAGAGGCTCAGGCCCCAAAACAGCGACAGCAGTTGGAGTTGAAAACTCGACGGGAAAGAAGCTGCTAAAGCACAGGCGGTGGGATAGTACGAAAACGCTGTGAATACCGTGCAAAACGCAGGTGCCGCCAAGAAGGTTTTAACACTCCTAAAACCTGAAGCGCAAAATCTCACATACATCAAAAACAAAGATGCCGGCTGTGCGTGGGATGAGCTCGCCAACACCCCTGAAGGCCAGACCTCGGCGTAGGAGGGTTTACTTTTGAAGTACTGTCTGGTGTGTGCTAGGTGTGGAGACATTGTTCGGGGTGTCCGCGAAACACTGTCCCGATCATCCTTGCCGAAAGCCCCCGAAATCCCAAAGTTGGGTTCGCTTTGAGAAGTAGGTTTGGTGATTATATAGAAGGTTCCGACATCACGAAAGTATTGTAAATACCGAGTAAAACGGAGATTTTGTTCGGTGTGTCTGTGGAACAACCGAAGCCCAATTTTTCCAAAATCCAGGAGTGGAGGCAAGAAGAAGTGGTATGACACGACGAACGTACCGTAAATACCGAGTAAAACGGATGTGCTGTTATGAGGGTTTGTAGCAGATATGGCTGGTTGGGGGGGGCGCCTACTAGTACTACTACTACTACTACTACTACTACTACTACTACTACTACTAACAAGAACAACAATAACAACAATATTAATATTAATATTAATAACAATAATGATAATAACCTTGATAGCAGGCTGAGGACATGTGAGTCATTCTTTGCTACCGGTTTCCTGCTTAGGGCCTCAGAAACATACGACTCTGATGTGCTGTTGACTGGGCGAGCTGTCCGTGCCCAGACCACGCGGGCTTTTTCTAGGGATGGTGGAACTGGCTCGCAGGCTTCTTTGCAGGCAGCATGCAGTCAGCCAAGGGGCCGGAGTTTCTCGAAGGTAAGCTGTCAAGTGGTGGGTGTACGAAGTAGCTAGGAAGAAGCTGCGGTTGTTTGATTACCCTTCGTTAAACCCTCATTCGGAGGGCTTTGCCGCAGGCCTTGCTATGTGTGAGATGCCTCGCTTCGTTTCGCCAGTTCCATCCGCTGGAGCCAAAGGCTTCTGAGAGAAGGGTCCCCTTCCGTCGCACTTCGATCCTGCCGACCCAACATGCCAGATTTAGCTGCGCGGAATCGGATACATATGAAGCGGGTGGAGGCCTGGGAGGCATGTGACAGAGACACATCTGTGATACTCTATGCTAGCTACATGCTCGCATTCATATTTTGCGGGGTTTCGTATTATCCGGTCAGTGCTTGAGGCCTTGCCGGACTTTCGAGCAGTTTATGTTGGACGCTGCGTAGATGATCGTAGATGCGTAGTGCTCTCATGCAAAGGGGACCCTCGCTCCGAGAAGCTTCCTCTTAGGCACAGCGGACGTCGACCGAGCCTAAAACATCCTAAAGCAGATTCAAAAGCGGAAAGCTTCTTGCTTTCTGCTGTGTGGAGAGAGAGAGAGAGAGAGAGAGAGAGAGGGAGAGAGAGAGAGCGGTCAGACCTGCAACCGAAGGCAGGAAGGAAGAGCGGTTCAGGATCGCCGCGCCTCCGCCACCTTGTCCACGTTATGTTTTCGGGGACAACGAAGCCGCTTGTAGCTCCCCTTTTGTACTTGCTATGGCAGTGTATCATATACAGTAGATCTGGTGTGGACCGTATGGTCGTGAGTTGCTCTGAGACTTTGTGGTAGTCGCTGCTATGTCGGACTCCGACCTCTTGCAATGCCTTGATATACCTGTGTCTATGCGGGCGAAACCTTCGGTTACTTCGAAGTTTTCTCCCCGAGCACTCTTCTTTGCTTCCTATCTGCTTGTCGGGAAATGGTTGGTGTCAGGAATGTATGAGGGAGCATCGTCATCAACTGGCAGGCTTGCATCCGCGCCTGGTGGACATCTTGCGTGGGTTCGGGGTCTCAGGCAGCACCTCCGCAGTCTACACCGTCTGCAGATGGTGTGCTCGAGTTGCGTAGCCCCTGATGGTTTTCGTTGGGTCGCGGCTGTTTCCAAGTACCCCACCGTTGCACCGCCGCTCCAGACTCAAGGGCCCCCTGCTCCGCTCCGCTCCGCCAAGGCGAACTCAGGTTCTTCGAATTGTGTACATCAGTACGGGTCTCAGCTGTGGCCCTCCGAGCCACTTTGTTTTTTTTTTGGTTTTTGATTGGAATGGAGTTGTCTTAGAGTCTTAGATGTTCCGTCAGGCCATCCGACTTAGCTACCAGACTCCATATGAGCGCCCTTGGCTTCGGAGCCTCTTATGCCCTGGTGAAGTGGCTCGAGGCTGCAATGTGGAGAGCATGGCAGAGGCTGGTGAAAGCCGTCCTTGGAGAGTGCGGCAGGGCAAACTCTTTTCAACCCGCGACGCAGATTTCGGATAAACTCACGAGAGCCAATCTTCAAGCAGCGTCATGGGCCAGGATGTGGCGAAGCTCGGCTCCTCGACGGAGGAGGGAAGGGAGATCTGCCGGCTGTATGTAGGATTGAGACGCGCCGTTCAGAAGTAAGGCACCCCGAACAGATGCAGATCTTGTGGTTGTCGGCTTCGTCGTCTCGCGGTTGTTGTTGTTGTTGTTGTT